GTGTGTGTGTGTGTGTGAACCAGCATTACAGCCATTTTAAAGTTACTAATGTGCTCAATGGTTGTCTACAGATAGACAGGGATTACCTGGATAATGTCACAATACTATAAATTAATATGTGATGCCAATTAGTAAATTATTATTTAAAGTTAGTTTTTTCCTTCAGCCTGAGGCACGAATCACAGCTATAGCACATTCAAGGCCTGGCCCCATAATTCCTCCAAAGTTGAATCAGAAAGGAAATTCAGTGAAGCTGCAAATTATGTGATTTGCTTTTGGAAAAAGAGAAGCTACAGCTTGCTGTTATTTTTTTTGGCAGAAATAACTGAGTTTTAAACTCAGTGATCTGATGTTACCTGCCAAAATGCATCAAGAGTTTGCATTTTTATGAACACAGGCTGAGAATGTTAGAAAATATCTGGTTCTTTTATTAAAAAAAGGCAAAGATGCTTATATTTTGTATTGATGACTAAAGCCTAGAAGGTGAACAAGTCATCTAACTGTGGTGTAAACACAGTTTACAATGTACAATGTAAACAATATCATCTGCCTCCATTTGGACCCTCCTACTACTACAGGGCTCATCTCCATTGTCATCACTCTGGTTATTAATTTGTGGGGCAGCTGGTGGCTAACTTGTTTGCGCAGGAAAAACATATCTGTCACCGTCACGCACTGCTTTATTTTAGTCCTTACTCTTTCAGCTCTGACTTTTTTACTTTTTTACTATATATACACAAACAGAATCAAAGCAGTAGCAGACCTCTGGGCCAAGACCCCGTGTCGGGCTCATCATCACAATACTGTGGCCTTTCCGATGGGTCAGATAATCAGACAGAGCAGAGCAGGGATACACAATTACCCAAACTTACCATCTCAGTAGTAGCAGACCCATAACCACACAGATGCATGTGCACACACAAATGAATATGCACTTGTGCATGTACACGCACGCCCCACTGAACTGGCTTATTTCAGATTAATCTCCATCTACTTCTGTCCCTCCACTAATCTGTCTGTCAGTATATCTGCCGCTGCTCTGCTGAATATCACAGTGCTCTGTTATCTGTCTAGGTTTTCTTCCTCTTTTGAGTCATCTTTCCTCCCACTGTAAAATCGCAAGCTTCTCCAGCTGGTGAACACATGAATTATTAAACACACCTGGGACTGGGAGCATTTGTAAAACACAAATTCAATTAAGTTCAATGCTTGCCAGCCTTACAGTCAGATCACACAAATCGATCTCTGTCTACCCTTCTCCTTTTGCATCTCTTCTCCTTCCTACTGCTTCTTCAGAGCCAGTGAATTTGTCACTATTTAACACAAATGCATGCCAATGACACCCATAGAGTATGACTGGCTATATTAACATGCAAAATAAGTGATTACAAAGAAAGTTTAAGGTGACAGTTGACAGGAGCTGGTCTCATCTTACACAATGCTCTGTTTTCCCTGTTCACACTGAAAGTAACGACAGGCTGTTCTCAACTTCACCACCACTTAAGAGAGGGTTTCAAAAAGCTAAAGAAAAGAACATGTTCAAATATTTTTACGTTAGTGTGGACAACTGTCATGGCACTGGCAGATATATTTGCAAACAAGGAAACAAGAACAAAACCAAAGACACAATTGAAGCTCCAGAGCTCTTATTTGTGAAATTCTATTCTCCCAAAGGTGGCAACACATTCCTACCTCTCCCTGTAAAAATAAGGCAAAAAACCTGTTCCTGTGACATTTCAGTCCATCCCAGACACATGAGAAACACAAAATGCCATCAAAAAGAAGTCAATAGAGATGCTCCCTTTTCACTGCCCTTCATTCAATGACCTTATCAAAGAGAACAACAGCTTGAAGAGTGGTCCTTGAACACAACAAGTACCCATACTCCACTGGGGAGGACATGAAGCATATTCATAGTAGTAAAAATAACATGATGAGTCATTTACAGCTCCCTTCCAGGTCTTGCTTTCCCTCCCAGTGATTCTTTTTTTTGTTGAGCCCATCCTGCTTTTGAGGAAGTAAATTTGCTTGCCTTCACAAAACCGTGAAGTCGTAAGGCTGTTGACATCGACTCACTACACCCTTTTCCCAACAAAACCCAACTGAAAGGACAAATCAATTGTGAATTTAAATGTAATTGATTAACCTTCCTGGAATGCCTCCAGGATGTCTCACTGGTGAAAAGGTTCATTTGGGGCTCTCAATCACAATTCATAATACTGAGGATCATGTAATCCTGTTGTCCTCTTCACCACAGCCAAGTCCATCTGAGAAACATTAAATGCCGGGGGAAGATTAAGGAAGTTGAATTCACCTACAGCAGATTATAGGCTACAGCTGCAAACTTTATGATCACTTCTGGGCTTTTATAGAGGAAGTAATCCATCCTGTGCACTACAATGTCGCTTTGGCCTATATGTGAAACATAAAATACGACTGTGGATTCAGTGTTTTGATTCTGATGAACTTTAAACTCAAATGTCAAGAAGCAGAGATTAAATAATTAATTGGACACTGAATAAGGCATATGGGAAATCTTGGTTTAGGCAGAGCAGACTGGTTTTCTCTGTTCCTCCCTCCCTTACCCTCAAATAAATGTATGCAATTAATTCTGTAGCCTGTTGCCACTCAATGAATTTATTCAACAAAAACACGAGACTTGAGCCTGAGACAATCAGTAAGCTGCCTACATCTTAAATATTAACTACTGCTTGCCCCGTTTGCCTCAAAGCAGCATTAAATGGTTTCCACAGCTTCCCAAAGCTATAGAAACTAGTTAAGTACTACTGAAAGACTTAAGAGGAATGCCTTTAAATTAGAGTTGTTCAGATACCGATACCAGTATCAGAATTTCCTCCGATGCTGCCTAAAATGCGTCTTGTGCACCAATCAAATACCACAGAATTTATTAGCCCAGTCATTTTTTCCCCCAGGATAGCGAAGTCATGGCTCGACCTACTCTGACTCTAACTCTGACAAAGGGTTTAACCTGAGCCAGGCCATGATAGCGATCATACAGGCTTAGTATACACTTGATAAAAACTAATATTATTTTTACGCACATGTTACCACAGGATTGGTACTTAGTATCGGGTGATACGCAAAGTTCAGGTATCAGTATCGGGAAAGTGGAAAATGGTATCGGAACATCACAATGAATAGAATAAAAAAAAAACACTCACTCTTCTTAGCAGCAGCCATGTCAATTGGTCCGGTACAGACACACTTCGACAAACACTGTCACAGCCTAGTCATCTCAGCAGTGTGACCTCAGCTCAACCCTGCAAAACAAGTTAGGATAACGGAGACAATGAGAGAGAAGCATTTAGCTCTATATAGAGATAAAGTGACAGAAAACAATAGGCAGTGATTAGATCAACAGAAGAGCACTGGAAGATAAGGAGGAAGGTGGTACATGAGAGAGAAATAAAACAGGGAAATAACAGCTCGCCACAGAACGCTTCCCAGGGTGTTTTTATTTCTAAATGCATGACCCCCAGGTTAGCCAGTATTTCAGCTGAGAGCACAGATGTGCAGTACTAGTCAGGCCAGGAGTATCACAGACTCCCGACCGAGACTTCAATTAAAGGAAAACAACAAAACAGCCTAAGAGGATTAAATAGGGGCTGAAGCTGCTATTTGAGGGCTTCACCCAGATGGAAAACATTCATCACATCTCTGGGAAATGCTTGATATAGAAATAGAAATACATAGAAGAAAAGACACAGTATATCTGTACACAATATAGTGCATAATAACAATGTTATGGCAACAAGTGCAAGGGAAGGTCTACCAGTATTTAATCTTCTGCCCCAATAATACTCAAGAAAGCAGCCTTACTTTCAGGCATTACTGCTGTAATGCAACAATAACAGGAGTTTCTCTAAAGCTGTCATTTTTACCGAATATTAAAAACCAGGTGAGAGCTTTACATGAACACAACACACACGCTCATTACATTATTGTACAACCCTCGCTAATGTTATCAGAAGTGGCAACTGTAGTTGGTGCAATACAACTAATGGTAGAAGTAGTATTTGCAGTAGTGACGCGAGTGAAAAACAATAAAGTTCGCTAAATCCTTACACACGGTTTCCACAAGAGTTCAGGCAGCAACTAATGCTATTATTAGCACAAAAGTATGCCAACTGGTGCTTTGTGAAAACAGCCTGAAGGGCATCTTTAACCAATCAGGCAGCATGGATACCCTTAACCAGTAAACATCAACATGCATGTGCCAAATTTGATGAAATTCCCTTCAAGGCTTTCCTGAGATATCACGTTCACGAGAACGGGACGGATGTGAGGTCACAGTGAGTTTGATCTACGACCACCAAAATCTAATCAGTTCTTACTTGAGTGGACGTTTGTGTCAAATTTGAATAAGTTCCTTCAAGGCGTTCCTGAGAACTGGCCGGACAAAAACCGCAAGGAGGCATAAAAATACTCCTACAACATTCCCATTTTTTGTGTTTGTGGAGAGAGAATAAAGATTCACAATTAAGATTTATTGACTTTGTATTTCAATAGAGGATTGAATTGAAACAGAACCAGAGCATCCAGCAATGACCTGAAAGAAGATTAAATATGTTTTTTCTCACTCTTTATGCCAAGATAATGTCTGATCTCAGAACACATAGTTGAAAGATAAGGCTCATATAAACAGCCATGTTACAAAATGTTTTTGTTAAGCTTAATAAAGGTAATTATATTCCAATTGGCTGCTTTATTATAATAAAAAAAACCCTGGAATGTTTCATAAATACAAAGTGTTCTCAGGAACCACTTACATCTGGGATACCAGTGACCCCAAGAATCACTTGTGTGGTTTGCACTTCCTTCTTTCAAGGCTGGGAACGAAGATGCAGCGAGTGAGGATCAGTGCCAGAGTCTCTGCTTTGCTTGCAGCGAGACAGCAGGGAAGGGTGTCACTTCACGGAACAGAAAACTTACAATGTCACATCCACTGAGAACAGAGTTGGAATCAGAGGATGATCTACTTTTAACAGTACGAAATATACCAGTGCTGTTTTTGGGCGGCTAAATGGGTCGCTATGATTAGAAAACCCACTGATGAGATTTAAATGTGCACGCCTGCAGCTGCAAGAGCCGCAGTGTGACATGTAAAGTGTGTCTGATTGGATGGAGGCATTGCAAAAAACTTTGAAAGCTTACAGGTGTTTATGTAAATGTTTTTTTTGTGATTTTTGTGATTGTTGCTGACTCTTTGATCACTACCACTGTACAGAGGTTTCTAAAAGGATCATTCCTGTTTACTACAGAATGGGTCCAATTGTTGCAGTCATGATCATCCTTAATACCTGGACTGTTCTCACAAAGTTTAAGAGAACTGGGGATCCAGTAACATCATTAAAAAGGATTCCAACAGGGCAAGATCCACGAGAAGTCAGACAATCAAACAGGCTTTAAACAAACACCCAGGTTAGTTATTTATTTACCTCCCATACCTGTGCCTAGCTTTCTTGTGCAATCTCGGGTGCACCTTTTTTTCAGTTTTACCTCCGAATTAAGATCTGGATTCACAACCTGTCAAATCATCCGACTGACTGACAAACAAAGAGTGACGTACAGGACGAAGTGGCAATGTAAACCGACATAGGTGTGACCCAAAAAAACAAATGATAGCGGTGGTTTGTGTGGTTAAAGATAGTCTACCATACAAATACATGTTGTTAATTACCTATTTAACACAATTGGTAACAGCTTTAATTCTTCATTTAGTTGTTTTTGTGTATCCACAGTTAACTGCTGCATTGTACTGACTAGTACCTTCTACAGTAGCTTTCAAAGAGTGTGAGAATTGAGCTTAATTTACATGCATGACCACCTTATTTAAATCCCAAAGCCCGAGCGAGCTTTGTTGCTGACAGCTCTCCCTCCGCTCTGTGTCACAGTTGACAAATTAAAATTGGAGATGCCACAGAGAGCAGCAACAGGTACCCATCTCCTGCTTCGAATTTGATGCTTGTTATTTCGAGAAAGTGATTTGATCTCCTCCATGTGAAACAGGCACATGCTGGGAGTGAGAGAAAATATCATTTTCACTAAAGTTAACATTGTCTCACTACACTGTTAACCCTGTTTATATAGCTCTACCTTACTAGAGCTTAAACAATTAGACAATTTGATCTGTCAATTAATGGTTTATGTCATAAATGTCAAACAAATTCACTTACTTCAGATTCTCAAATGTGAATATTTGATTATTTTCGTCATCCTTTATGATAGTAAACTGAATATCTTTGAGTTTAGACTGTTGGTCAAACATATAAAGCTATCTGAACAACTTGAGCTCTAAGAAGTTGTGATCAGCATTAATCAGCAAGTTCACTGAAAATGAAAATAGATGTTAGTCGCAGCCCCAATTAACTATAAACTTAATGTGATCACAACATTGTTAACCCTGTATACATATATGTATTACATACTGTAGCTCATGTTCTATATGTCTCCACTAAATAAACTGTAAACCCTGTCTTTATTCCTGCTCTATACCATACTATGTACATAGTATGGTATAGAGCACCATACTATGAACAAGCTATATCATGAGTTTTATGTCTATTACAATATTTGACCCTCTGCCTACATCTAGCTAAAAATAGTGCAGTCTAAAACAACAGCCCTTCAATAAATCTTAACTGCACAAAGCTTACCATGTTCAGTGTTGTTGATTTAGAGGTGTTGATTCAATATTATGGTCATTTGGAAGCTGCAGAGCGTGGGGTTTCTAATATTTTGTCCAATACAGTAACATCAGTAAACATCAACACTATCAGTCACTTTTTGTACTTCTTGTACTAAAATATGTCATTTTCATTAGTTTAAACTCTCTAAAAATGCATTTGTTTGTTGTTCATTATGCATAAATCTAAGAAAATAAAGCAGAAATGCTTTAAAAGTGACCTATGAATCAACAACACAGCATAAAAACAACACAACTGAGACTGGTGGTATAAATACACACTAAAAGTGACTTTAGGTAACACAATTAAAACAATTGTAACTTAAATTAACATTAATAACTGGAGCAACATGAACATGAATACACACAGTTATGACTCCATCCTTGCTGGTAATTTCCCCTAAAAAAGTTGCCGCGTTAACACAAAACTGCCAACACAAACACACAAACAAACAAACAACAACAACATACAGTTTGTTTATGTCTTCAGACGAGCTTACCTTACTTTGTCCTGGACGGATGAAACTCGGACACCTTTAACCGATAACCGTCGTCGTCCTGTTAGTAACACCACCACCACCAGACAGACAGACAGACAGACAGAGAGAGAGACAGACAGAGAGAGAGAGAGACAGACAGAGAGAGAGACAGACAGACACCTTCACTCACTTTCTCTACCGGACAATTTCCGCATGCGATCACGTGGTTTGCTCTCGGTGTGTGTTTTTCAATGTAACCGTGGTTCCGGTGGTTCCGGTGGTCGACCGAGACACCTGCACCGCTCCTATCGGCTCTGTGCCGCCGGGGAAGAGGAGATCAAAGCCGGCTGTAGTGCAGCAGTTGCCCCCCCTTTCTCTCTCTCT